CAAAGTGAAAATACAGTATTTTTGATTTATTAAATACAAAAATAATACCATTAGAACTCAATTTTTTGAATGTAGACAAGGACAATTTGTGCTCTATGCTCTACTATTGTGAACCTAGAATCATTTACATCATTTTAAGAAAAATGAAAATCCACACTATCATATACATCTAGGAAAAGAAGATGATTTTTTGTTTTTAGGAATTATTTACCATGAAATCTAAATGTGGGCTTTAAATCTATTCATACATCTAGCTGTTGTAATTTTTCAAGGGCACTGTATCAATTCAAGTAGAAAATGGTTGTAGTTTATCATTTTTATTGTCATGTGTATTTCCATCTGTCATACATCATGGGAAAAAAGTAAAAAATACTATGAAAATTATTATTTTCTGAAACTTATTCTTTGTAAACACTTTATATGTTTTCAATTCCATTCATGTTTTGAAGAACTGTTTAATTTTAATGTGACTTCTCAGCAGTTTCATTGAAATATAATGACCTTTTTCGTTCCAGAAGTAGCATTTAGCATAGCCATTTCCAATTATTAATTGAATTATGTTACTACTACGCTCAGCCAAAATTTTATTCAAATAGATTCACTTTTTTAACAGAGTACACCAAGTGGTGGGCAAACAGATTTTGGATGTGAACCTTCAAACAAATGTGTGGATGAGCAACTGAACACACAGGCATAATCCAGTTTCATTTCCATTGCAAGACAAGAGGTGTCTTAACTGCCCACCATTAGGAAACAATCTTTCAGATGTTTGTAGTCAGTAGAACTAAAGATGGTATTTAAGAAGATAAATACTGACTGTTGTAATTTTTCAAGTATTTCCTGGAGTTGCGATTTGCTTTGACCAAAATTTATCACACTAGAGATGCTGAATTTTAATTTATTGGCGAAATCCTTCTTCTTATCTAAATGAAAGGCTTAGTATAAGTCTCGCTTTCTTAAGGTTGCCATACAGAAAATATGCATCAAACATGAGTCATGCTCAAGGGCATTAAGTAATGAATCTAAATCATTCACTTTAGAATTTACTTTTTAATAACGGTTTACCTCCAAAGACTTCAATGTTCGTGCTTTAGTTTACAAGCGATCAGCTGCACCTAGTCAGGCCATACTACAGCTGTAATATACCTCCAATATGGCCACGTCAGCATCATAACTGAAACCTTCATTAGTTAACATTAATCAGTTTTGCTGCTGAGGGACTCCGCAAGATTGAAATCCCAGCAATCCTGCCAACCCCATTTTCATAAAATAACCTACTTTAATTTCAATTGTGTACACCTCCATAGCAAAAAATCCAGTTTCATTGTGCTTTTTTTAATGTGAGTACTTAGCTAAATTACATTTCAAGCCATTTATTAAATTTGAAAGTCTTGAAGAGCTGCACAATCAACATGTGGTCCAGAAGCTGCATTCTGACTCCCTTGGGTTTCTAATCAGCCCAAGTCAAATTATAACTGGGCTTTTGAAAAGGAAGCAGCAAGCATTTTCTGTGGTCTTTTTTATAATTGCCTTCATTGATGTCCCTAGTTGAATGTTTCGGTTTTCTTCAGTCCGGCAGTGATCAGGTCTTCCAAGGTCTCAGTGTTGAACAACAGCTAGCTAATCCACAAAGGCACTTCTAATTTTTAGCTATGTTCGCATGGTAAAAATTAAGAATTGGGTTTTTTTTAATGCAATTAAACTTTTAGAACATAAAAATCTACGTTTTCAAGGTCTCTTCAAGGGTAAAGCAATCTTGATTAATTACTCATATTTCTCTGTGCGACCTGTAGATGCTTTAACTTTATAATGAGCTTGCAACAAGTAACACTGCAAGCTTCAAAATGATAAATATTTTACAAACTCTTATTTAAACTCTCTGACTCAGAGGATAAATTGGCATTACACTCCAATACTTGCATAATCGTAGTACTTCATCATATTGTTGCTCGACTTTTCTGAAAAACCTAGAGAAAGATCAAGGCAGTAAGGTTCAGCTGTGTCTGTGACGCTGCAACCCCATATAATTTGTACACGTCAAAATGCCACACAACCCCGTTGTCAGTACTGAGGTGATCTGCTTACAGGAACGAAGTGAAGGAGAGGGATAATGCTAATATATGGCTCACATGGCAAAATAATTTATTCATTTTGGATTCTTGGCTTCTCAACTCTTCAGCCGCCATTCTTTTTGAAAAAAAAGCCTGGCTCAACTAATCAGTATACTCAGGTGCTGGTCTTTTCATGCTAGTCCGTTATTAAGTCACTGAAAGGTAGCAGTGGTGGTGTGTGAACTAACTCTTATATTAGGAAAGGATCATTTGCTGGTTAAATAAAAGACAAAACTTCCTCAGAATGTACATACATAAGCAAATATAATCCGGTACCAAATCTCAACATTGTACTTCCATTGTTTTTATGAAACTTGCCATTTCCCAAGGGATAAATTTCAGTAACCAGTAATATGAGGAGAAATGAGTTGTTTATGCTGGTGTCTCTGAAGTCTGAAAATTTTTTTGGAATGTGTGACTAGTTTTGCTTGTAGCAAAAGGGTCACTTCGATTTGCTCTGAGTCAAAAAAATATGTTTTAAAGGTCTGGTATTTACAAATCTGCTATGCATAATAAGGTTTGTAAGTACACGACTGCGCTTGTTGCCTTTTTGCCAGACTCATGCTACTTACTGAGTTTTCTCCAGCAACCTTCGTAGCAACCAGTGTTCTTTGACCAGTAGTTTGCCTTCACAGATGCTGCTTTCTTAGTGAAGTCTTTACTTAACTCATTCTCTTCCACTGGAAGCTGGAGCTGGGAGTAATTTTATCGTTATACTTACAGTTTTGATTTTATATCCTTTGCACATACTCCTTGCCCTTGCTATTTTATTTCCTCTGAAAGGTTCACTTTTTACAGCTATCCATTCTCACTCGTGTTCTTTTGAATTCAGTTCCCCAACTACTTCCTTTGAGCTGTACTTGAAAGGGCTTGAAGGTTCAAGTCTTTTCCTTTTATTCTGTTTTTATACTTATTCAGGTCTCTCTAGAATTTCACTCATCTCAAAGTAGATCCTGAGTATGATTCTGTAAATCAGGGAATACAATTAAGAGATCCTTGTCTTATTTCTGTAAAAAATAAGTGGTTTAACATTGTAAATTATTACACACCTAAAGCATATTTCTTTCATTTAAAAAATCATGGTATTCACTTTGAATTGTTATTTATATTTTTATATTTATTGTTCATAGAAAGATATATTGGTAGCACCATTTCCTAAGCTGTACTGAACTACATGATCTAACTTCCCATCAAAGCACTACAGATTTATGTCTAGTAAATTAAAAAACAAAGAATACCGTCCTACTGTTTTTCTTCTGTTCTGTATTTTTAAATAATGCTGATCCTCGTCTTTTATTTGCTACACAATCCCTTTCCATTTTTCTTGATCCTACTGTTTAACTGCTGAAAATGCGTCAGCAAATTCTGGCTGGCTGCTCTTTTTCGTCTTTTTTACTGAGAACAAGACAATTGTGAGTGCCTGCTTTTCTTCTAGTGTAAAATAAAAGGGATGGGAAATATTCTTGAACTAGTTGATAGTGTATTTTAAGAGGATGAAACACTTATCACAAACACTGTGATACTTACCATATGTTGGATTATATCTTAAAAAAGAAAAAGAAACACTTCTGGGTTTTTCTGAGTTTTAATTACATTTTATTTAATTATATCAGTTTATCCTTAACTCTACCAGCCTGGATTTTCAGTCTGCTTGTACAATCTGGTCTTTATTTCCAAATTTCTGTGTTGTTGGAGGAGAAATGCCTTCTCCTTTTCTAAAGAAATGCTGCTGAAAGTGAGGAAATAGTAACATAGTCTTCGAACCAGCTGTCATTTATCTTTTGTTATCAGTCTTTTCCCAATATTCTCTTTGGCACTTCTGATTGATTTAGTGTCTGACCCATACTACAGTGATGTTTTATACATCTTTGCATTAATTCTGCTCTTTCAAACATTACAGCTGTGGTCTTCTCATAAGACGAGACTGACAGTTCTGCATCCTGCTCACTTCTTTACATCTTCATATCCCTTTGCCACCTTCAAAAAGACAAAGAGCCCTTGGCCTTGAAGGTGTTTAATTTTGCTAATGAAAAAGATGGACAGGATCTGGAAGCGCACTCTCTGCTGCCTGGTATTCAGCTCCAGTAGAATTTCTTTTATGCCATTACAGATGGGGGTGAGATTTCAGGTTTGAGTGACAGAAAGCCTGGCTATACAGACGTGTTATCCCTGTCTCTTAAAGGCAGCAGAATCCCAAGGCAATGTCAGGTTTAAGAAGCAGATTCTGCACAGCACCTCAGACCTTTATTAATATTTTTGGTCTTTTTTCATTCTTAGAAAATAATTGCTTTTAAGAATGGATTGTGTAAATATTTGTCTTTTTTTCAAATAACTTCGGTGAGCATTTATCAAAACCCTAATTTTTTCATTGAAACTAGAAATTAAAATTCAGTAGAAAATGAGTTCAGTTTTAGTAAATAGTTGCTCATTTTCTTTGCCTCGATTTTGAGCACCCAGTAGGAGATATGTGTGCATTCACTACCAACATTAAAACTGAAGGACATTCCAATTAAGTCTCTAATTTATGAGAACAAGGTATTTAATGAGAAAGGTCTGATGGAAAGAAATGCTTCCTTATCTGTAAAACGATCCATCTTCAAAGTGTTGAGATCAGCCTTCAGGCAAGTCAGTGCTGAAAAGTTTAGATCTATAAATGCCTTCGGATTGGTATGTGAAATTCATCTATTGATAAGCAAGTCTAAGGTTTCACGTGATGTCAGTCCAGATTTTGATATAGCAATGCAAACAGGAATATGAGGAGACACTGATAATAATTAATAAAGGATTCAATCAGATATTTTGTCCTAAAAATGTCCATTTGTGGTCATACATTTCAATGTGTTTTTATTTTCCAAAGTAATTGTACTGTATTTTATTTATGTATTTTAGGCACGGAAGGGGCAGTGTTTGGGCACTCTGTGGAGACACCCCATATCAGAGCAGAACCTTCCCAAGACCTCAAGTAGGTGTTGTTCAAAAAGTTATTTTAAAATCAAGTATTCTCAAAAACAGTTAAGTCTTGATTAAAAGCAAATATCTGTGTAGTAATATATACTGCCTACTCAATGACTCATACGTGTCCAAAAAATTGGTAGACTCCAATTTGTTCTAACTAGTCAAAAAACCCCTCAAACTTCTGTCACACAAAATGTAAAAATACAATACTTTTTATAAATCACTTGCCTCCTGTAGCAGAATTCTTGAGAAGTATCCTTTCCCCAGAGGCTGGAATAGTCAGGCATTTTTAAGGTCAGTTGAGCACAGTACTCTTTAACAGCATCAGACCCAGATTTTGATTTTTTTATGAGCCATTACAGAATATATAAGTCAAGTTTAAGTAAACAGTCCCAGATTTTTTCTTCAAATTATGTTTCCAGGTTGTTGGGTTTTTTGAATACTACACGCACACTTTTCAAAAATTCATTATCAAGTGAGGCTACATTGGTAAACGTAAAAAAATCAAAGTTTTCTGTACATATTCGCACAAGAGGAGAAATAAGTAAATAGTAAAAGATCAAGTCTAAATCTTACTAAAGCATCTGTAGACTGAGAAAGAGAAGATTTAGGAGGGTTTATAATGAAAGCTCTTTCTTGAAGTGCATGTATGCGTGCTGCTAAATATTGCTCTGCAATTTATATGGATGACTAACAAGTATATACGACAATCTCAGAAAATCAAAGGTCCTTGCTTGTTTTTCTCTCAGCAGAACTAATGAGAGACAGTACAGACTTTGTTTCAATTCTATTATGGCTCCTAAATATTAGATACCTAACCCTTTGCCCACCCAGCAGCGTTTGCAATGAATTGCTACAGAAAGACAATGTTAAATGCCCTTTGCTATGCATGGAAAGACGTTTAGGATCAGCACCCAGCAGCGATGTTGCAGAAATCATGGGCAGAAATCTGCCCATGTAGACAGGTTTGACCGTTGTATGCAGGGTGTAAGAAGTTAATGATTGTGTTTGATTATTTACACTAAACATTTTAAGGTAATGTGATGGTTTGGGGTCTTCTAGAGGATCCTACTCATTGGATTTCTATCTTAAAAATCCCTATCCCCGACCAAGATTCCTGTCAGTCTTTTGTTGAGAGTAGTTGTAAAGGCTTTTATTAATGACGACTCTCTAATCAAAGGGAGTTCAGTAAAAATCTAAGTGGAAACACAACGAGCTTTTCTTTTTTCAGGGGCCCAAAAATTTGAGTAAGAACTTGGAACTTGTCCCACTCAAAAGAACGTGGAGACACGGCTTAGTTCACTTCTTCCTAGTAATTAAATAGGAATAATAGAGTACAAATGTATGGTAAAGCAGATAATCCTGTACCTTCAGGATTAATTTCACAAGGGTTAAAATCACCTCATTTTGCCTCCTGTCTTTTGTCTTTATGCATTGCCAGGATGCTTTTTGTTGCTTAATGTTTTCCAACTCCACCATTCCTTCAGCTCCTTTTTCCAAGGTGGACTTAATTAGTGAGAATTTTACCGAATTTTGCCCTCGACTTTCTGCCCGCACATTAATAATAAACTTAACCCAAACTTTTTGTCTAAAAAAATGATGAAATGGAAACTCTTGATCTCTGGTCACGTAGCATTAAGTTATGTGTAAGTGATTTTATTCTTAATATATTCAGTCTATATTGTGTTCTGCAAGTTTTTGTACACATGTGCTCTAATATATTAATTAAGCTTCAGTGATACTCCTTTTTTAAAACTCTGAAGTAATTTTAATCTTTTAAAAATTAAGACAACTGCTATTAGGACAGAGCTTTCTTGGCTTTTGGTATGAACCTTTCTAGAAGGTAACCCGCAGACACTTTTTAATGTTGTAGCTTGAAAGAACTACAAATAATTGTGGGTTTGTGTGATATTTTCTGACAGTAAAATACAGTTAGACACTCAGATCATATATATCCCTTTGAAAATTCCATATGCATGAATGCAAATATATTAGGCTATGAGAATACTTTTGTACACGGCTGATAGATAAAAGAATTTATATTATATTTTAATTAAAATATAAATGATCCCTTATTTTTCATGTTGGAATATGTATTGGTGGTCAATTAATAAACCTCAGACATCAAGACATGAATATATTTAAATATTATCCCCCCCTTTTTTTTTTTTTCCAAAAAAAAGGGTGCTGGGAAATCATCCATAACCTTGGATGTGTAAAACAATTAATTACTGAATTTAAAGAGTGTAATCCTGACCACCTTAATTACTGTGAATGAAACAGAACTATAAAATTTGGACTAAGATCTTCATACTCGTAAGGCTTATAGCATTTGCCCCCAAAGTCCTGGCGTTTTAGCGCAACCTGTTCTGGACATGGAGCCAAAAAGAAAAAGTCAGATTCATGTTACCTTGACATCAGTAAGCTTTACCTCAGCCACGCTTTCTTGTGTAGTCAGATTTTGAGGTCTTCAGACAGAGGAACATCTGTAATATTTGCCATTAAGAATGCATTGTGTAAAAAGAAAATTCATTTGAGATTTAAAAGAATTCTTTCATATGTGTCCAACCACTTTGGTCACATCTTTCCCCTCTGTTAGATATTCAAATAATAGCTAGTGAGGTTTTGTTTTCAGAAGATGTTTTTCTACAGTCCTTTGTGAAAGCTGGTAAATCCTTGTATGTCAAGTCCCCAAAACTAATTAAATCTGACTTTCATTAGCTGGGATAAGCAACATAAAAGGATCATGCCTTAGAATCAGGAAAATAAATTATATCTTAATAATTTAATCTTCATATTTCTCTTGCTACTTTTTCTCATAGGACCACAGTTAGGAAAACTAAACTGCCAGTGTAATAGTTCCCCAAATACTGGTTTTAGGCTGATAGTGCATTAAAACATGGTGCACTAGCAGGTAATATCCATGCACAAAAGAGGCAGACAGTAGTTAAATGCAGATAGCTTTGCCCTCAATAACCTCCTTAATAAGGGGGTAAATTACTTTGTTGTTGTTCTCTGGGGATAACTGCAAGATCAAATTTAATAGGTTTTTTTCTATGTCAAGCCTCGCATACCATTGACTATCTGCTAATCCTGCAAGCTAATGCTGGGCGTAATGAGATGAAAATTGATCAAGCAGCAAGGAACCATCCAAGCTAGTAGCATCCTACTTTACCTCTGATAACAATTAAAAACACGCAGGTCTTGCTCAAGGGGTCTGTTTCACTCAGAGTTGCCTGATGGCTTATAAGAGTCATCTTTTGTGGCATTTCAGGAGTGGTTTACTAATAGCACAAAGTATCTATTCATTAAAAGCCTGGAGCCAGAGAAGGTATCAAAAAAGAATTTTGGCGTTAACTTTTTAGTTATGTGAGCAGGCTGAGCATAACAAAAGCACTGGGACTCTGTGCAATTATTTTACGCAAAAGTCAAATAACAAACCAAACCTCATCAAAACAGAGAAGATGTAGTAGAGTAAAAAAACGCAGCTTCCTTCTTGTGCTGTTTTAATGATGTCAGGTTCTACTTACTTTCTCAGCATTTGTTTTTAATAAAGTGGAAATATTTAGTCCTTCTGTTTTCAGAATTTGTGTTTGGTGTTTAAATATTTATTTCAGTGTCGGGGCATGTGTATTGACAGCAACTTGTTTGCTTTGTCTTATCCGTAGCTGTTGAAAATACGGGGTTTTTATTACAGACATGTTTGTACAAAAGTAGAGATGGGTGTTGTAAAAATCTGAAGACTTGCCAAAAGCCAAACTTCTTTTTTCAACTGTATATATATGTTTTTATATATTAAAAAAAAAAAGCAGAAGACGTAGAAATAAATAGAGAAGAAAGCCGGTAATAAAAGGTTGTCATTACTACGCAGATAGGATGCAGTAGGAACAAAAGATATGGCTCTAAAAATGAAAGAATAGTTTGCTTTAGTGTTTAGTGACTGTTGTTATATTTGACATTGGAGAAGGGAAAAGGATCTCATGGGAACTGGGATATGAACAAAGAAAATGTTGCTACCACAACAGAAAGCAAAATTCATTGAGTTTCATGTGGTTAATTTAGGGTGCTACGTGATCTCTCTCCCTGGTCTGTGACTGAACTAAATGTTAAAATAGGGTCAAATAGCCAAAATTTATAATAAAGCTTTCAAACTGGAAAGCAGATACCGTGGGACTGACAGGTTGGTAAGAGTAGCATTTCCAGTGAAATGGATGAAAAAAATGGGTGAAAAGAGTCATCCAGTATGTTAGACCTCTTAGTCTGAACTTGCTAGCGTACAATGCTTTCAATATTATTTTGAAAGATTTACTAGATGAATGGCTTACTAATGAAAATAATTAAGAGTAAGAAGATAAGTAAAAATTGAAATGAGATAGAAGGTGGGTAGATTGTGCCAATCCAAATAAATATTTTTCCCTTGATAAGACACCTGTTCTTCTACAAAATGGAAAATAGGTAGATCTCCCATCTGCCGTTTAAGTATAGAATTTGATATAGAGCTATACCTAATGAGAAATAAAAAGGCAAGACAGAGATGAGTGTCTTTAAAAAAACTTTAAGTTATATGTAATAGACATGTATTGTTCAAATCCTCCTTTAGCCTGGAGGGAGATTGCAAGGAGTGTTTCTTCAGCGCTGAGCTTATTTCAGGTTTTAATAACTCTCTTTCTTCTAAAAGGAGATACACTGGTTTGGAAGAACTGGCATTCAGGAGACCTTGAGCACTAGAATAAGAATATAATAAAACTTCACAGTACGATGGTGAATATTAGTTGAAATATTAGATAGAAATCAACGTTCTGCCTGTCAGATGCAGGAGGTTCTGGAATAGCCTTTCAGAAAGGACAATTAAAAGTGTTTATTATCAATGACTGGTTTATATTTGCTTTATGATTGTGCCATGCCATGGTTTCAGGAACACACAGATGGGCTCCAAGCATAGATGTCTCGGGCTAACAGGGTTATGGGTGTAACTATAATATCCTATGAATCCTGTCTCAAAACCCG